GGGGGTGACTAAGGACCCGAGCGCAGCTCACCGGGCTCCAGCGTGCCCAGGGTGGCAGCGTAACGCTGGTGGGAGGTGAAGTTGGAGACTGTGCCTCGACCATAGGTGTGATGCGCCCTCCGCCGAGCTCTCCCCCAGCACCCCTCAGGTCCCTCAGGTCCCTCTGTCTGACCCCCCGGTGACTCCACAGTAAACCCAGATGATGTCACCTCGCACGTGGAGCACCTCCAGCATCATAAGGCCCTGTAGGCCGCAGCACCCTTCCCGGCAGGTCGCTAACAGGACCTTGCCTCGCGACATGCCGCCGCTGCTCCACACCTCCCGTACACCCACCTTCCCTCAACCCCCCCGACAACCCCCGTACAACCCCCCCTTGCCTAGGTGACAAAGAGGCCATCGAAGTGCCCAGTGTGCGCCTGGAGGACGACGTGAAGGAAGATACCCTGCTGCTGAAGGTAAGAAGGACCCGAACAGCGGTACGGGTTCGTAGGCGATTACCCTGGGGGGCAGGGGAGGGGGAGGGGGGAATGTGTGTATGTATGTTGTTACAGGGTGGTATAGCTTCACCAGCGGCCCCCTTTCCCTTGGAGGCAGTTCCCTGCTCTCCCCTGCGAGCGGGGCACCCTAATCCGTTCACCCCATCCGACTTCAGAATGTATTCGTTGGGTTTGGCAACTCACCACCAGCATCCAACCAAATCTAGCGGATCAACGGCGTCTCAACTTAGTTCCTGGTCAGCTCGCAAGTTGATATTATCACGTCCTACACCGTCCACAAGATGGGAGGCCACCTCCCATTTAAACACTCCTCAAACACCTGAGGAGTCGGCAGGCGAGTTTGAACCCGGATACTCCGGGATCAGAAGTCAGGCCTTAACCTCTGCCAGCCGCCTGCCTAAGGGGTGTATGTATGGATGTATGGATAGATATAATAATGGATGTATGTAACCTCGTGTGTGCGTGTGCGGCGTATGTGTATGTGTATGTCGTACCCAGATCGACGTGGAAGGTTGGGAGTGGTCAGTTGTTCAGGGCGCCGCCGCCTACTTGGCGAAGTACGACGTGGAGAATGTGATCATGGAGTACTCCCCGGGTGAGTGGGGGGGTGGAGGGGGATGGAGGGGGGTTGAGGGTTGAGGGGTGGAGGGTTGGGGGGTGGAGGGTTCTGCATTAACGCCATTCTCCGGACCACACGGGTGGGGCGAGATGAGCTCACGTGGGTCAATACACAACTGGCGGCCACCTGGCGGGGGGCGTGTCCCGTGTCGACCCCATACCCCGTGTCGGCCCCCGTCACTCTTCCCTCTACTCCCCCCAGCATCCCTCCGCCTGCCTTGCGAGGCCTAATTGTGCCTTTTACGGCAAAATAAATTCAAAAAGGATATATTGGTTTTCCTTCTTCTTCTTCTTCTGCTGCTGCTGCTGCTGCTTTTTCTTCTTCTTCCCCACCAGCCCTTGGCCTTCCCAGTTCCCCGGGCCCGGGCCCCAACCCACTCGCTTGCACACTCACTCACTCACATTGCGCTAAGGGCCGCTTCCGTTTTGGGTCCCTTTGGAGCCCACAGTCGTTGATGTGTTTTGTCTCTTTACGTTACCCCTCCGCCGCCTCCTCCTCGTCCACGCCGGCAGCCGTATCCTTCGCTTTTCTGCACACATCCGCACACACATACACATACACATACACACACTTCCACGCCCCCCCTCCCCCCCCTCCCCCCCCCGGCCACGAGGTCAGGTGTCCCGGAGCGGCACTTCAAGTGGGACCACATGGCGGCCACTCCGGCCATGTTGGTGGACTTAATCGCCAAGTACGGCTACCGAATCGGCCACATCGGGGACGCGGGCAAGCACCAGAGCAGCGGTTGGGACTCGGACCTGATGCCGCT